TCCGGAAATTCTGTTTCTTTGTTACTAATGCTGTGGCCCCACCCCATAACAAAGAAACAGAATTTCTGGAGGATGAGGCCCAGAAATCAGGATTTTAAAAAGATTCCCAGGTGATTCTAATGTGCAGCCAAGGTTGAGAACCACTGCTCTGGAGTGACCCGTTTTCAATGCTAAGAGGGTAAATAGATCCTGGCTGGATCTTCACTATGGTAATATTCCAAGATTTTCATTAATATTAGGGTCTAATCTCTACATATAATACTTTTAAACTTATGCAACATCCCCCAGGGCCAGAGGAAATAGAAGCCTGACTTGAAATGGTTTCATAGAATCAAGTAAGTTTTGGGCATTTACCTGGACGTAAGTCTTCTGGAAAATACTACATTGAAGGAGTTGTTAAACTCCCGACAACATGATCACCTGTAAAACGGGAGTGCCTTTATTTGGCTTTTATAACGTAATTTATCTTGCAGTGTGTGAGCTGAAGTCTCCCTCCATGAGCGACTTTCTGTGGGGACTGGAGAACTCTGGCTGGTTAAGGCACATCAAGGCCATCATGGACGCAGGAACTTTCATTGCCAAGGTACGTGATGGCAGAGAAAGTAAGCGAAGGGGCAGACCAGCCAGCACACTCGGCTGCCCTGCGTGTGGCTGTGCCGCTGGAGTGGGGAGCTGCTGTGCTCCCCACTGTGCACACCTCCAAGTTCGCCGGCTGGAGATGGGATTTTGCGAGAGAGGTCAGTGCTCAGTTAGTTGACAGTATGTCAGCACGGCAGTCAAGTGGTAGTGGAGATGGGATTTTGCGAGAGAGGTCAGTGCTCAGTTGACAGTATGTCAGCACGGCAGTCAAGTGGTAAAAGACTTACAGAATATCCTCTGCAGTTAGGCTTCCTGGGTGGAGGAAATAATTCTTTGTACAGGCGAGTGCGTCCACTGCAGGGACGGAGGCCCTTTGTTGGATAATGCGTTTATTCGGCAGGTGTTCACTTGGTGCCCGCACTGCACCTTCCTAGGTGCCAAGCAGGCAATGTGCAATAAACCAGTCTCCATGGAGCTGACCTTCTGGGGTGGGAGACCAAAAATGAGCAAAAGGAGAGTTTCAGGCAGTGATGAGTGCCGGGACAAAACCTCCCTTTCCCAGTCTGCTTCCTGTCAAGATGCTCAGCTAAAATTCTGCGTGCGCATTTGCGATAGCAAATAGAAATTCTTTCCGTAGCAAACTTGCTTCTATTATTTTTACCTTTGTTTTCTCCCTTCCCCCAACCCTGGATCCATTACTGGATCCATTACTTGGCTCTTATCCTTTTATCTCTAATTTCATAGTTTTACCATTTTTTTATTTTTGTCTTTTCCTTTTGAAAAAAGTCAAAGGCCAATAGGAGACCCATAATTTCAATAAGGGAAAGGCTTAAGGTGGAAACCCAGAGAGGAAGGGGGCGGGGTGTCAAAGGTGGGCTAGGCGGTGTCTCAGAGGTGTTTGTCCAGCATGTGGTGTGGATTGTGTAGTGCACATGCTCAGCCAAGGTGGCCTCGTGGTCGCTTCTGGATCTAGTGTCCTGGGAAGGGAAGCTTTGGCCACCAACATCCATCAGATGAGGGTGTGAACACTCAGTGAATGAAGTCACTGGCACGTCTGTCCGTTTCTGCGAGTACGAAACTGAGCCTCGTCCTGCTGAGATGTCCCGTGTCTACGGCCATTCCCTGTGGCCTGTGCTGACCCTGTTTTCCAGGCGGTCGCAGAGGAAGGGGCGAGTGTGCTGGTGCACTGCTCCGACGGCTGGGACAGGACCGCGCAGGTGTGCTCCGTGGCCAGCCTCCTGCTGGACCCGCACTACCGGACCCTGAAGGGCTTCATGGTGAGTCGGCCGCCGGGCCCCTGTCCCACGCAGGGTCCTGAATGTAACCATGAGCAATGTTTTCATTTTTTTTCCTCATCAACATTATTTTTCTCTTAGATCAGCAAGAAGAATTAAAGGAGAAATAGGCTTAAAAGGGGTAAATGTCCAAGATGTTGGAACAAAAAAAACAATGCTATTAAATGTGAATTTAGGGGTTAATATGAAATACATTCAGTAGTTTGTAAAATAGTTTTACACAGCATTTGCTCATGGGAATTTCAAGTTTGAAGTAGTGTGAATATAACAAAAATTCAAATTTTTAAAAATTGGAGGTAATCTATATAGAGCAGCAGTTCTCAACTTGTGGGTCGCGACCCCTTTGGCGGTCGAACGACCCTTTCACAGGGGTCGCCTAAGACCATCCTGCATATCAGATATTTACATTACGATTCATAACAGTAGCAACATTACAGTTATGAAGTAGCAACAAAAATAATTTTATGGTTGGGTCACAACATGAGGAACTGTATTTAAAGGGCCAGAAGGTTGAGAACCACTGATACAGAGCATGCACAAAAGTCCTTGAGAGGAAAAACTGTCTTGTTTTGTTTTCACTTGCTGCTTTTGTTTAAGCAGTCCTTTACAACTCTGGATGACAGTATTGAAAACCTGTTCACGTGGCCTCTGCTGAAACTATGAGCATATCCTCTTAGATTCTGCACCCTTTGGGTATCAGAATGTGACACGCTGCTTTCAACTGCAGAATGTGTGTATAGTTGCCTGGAGTGGAGACGCTTTGACCACACTGGAACCATTTTCTTAAAATGACTGCAGAGACCTCCTAGCGACTGAGTCTGCTTCCTGCCTCCTGCCCATGGTTTGGTGGGAAGTGCTTCGGGGGGTCCTGAATCCATGGCAGGGGCAGATGCTGACAGACGAGCCACATGGGTATCTTTATGAGGATATTAGTTGACACTCGGGGACAGAAGAGGCAGGTTTCCTTTCTCGGGCTTTTTCTTTTTCAAAGTGTCAGCGAACACACTCCTGTCTCAGCTCCCCCCTGCACTGAGGTCAGGGGGCTGGACCCCTTGGTTTATACTTGGACAGTGGAGGGATTCTGAAACACAACCCCCAGAGGGCCTCTCCTTCACACCATCCTTCATCACCACCGGCCTTTCTGATTGTCTTGCTACATTTGCGAGCTGTCAAGGACAAACTTCAACCACTCCATACTTTTTAAGGGGAACCTCTGGCCAGCTTGGAGCATTGGTGATATTGATGGGATTCTTCTGTATCATTTACAATTAAATTTGAAACTCCTCTTACCCGTTCACTGCAAAGCAGGGCTGAAGCTCCTACCATGCCCCCATCATTTTAGAACGCTTCTAATCCACAGGAAAGATCTCTGGATTTTTAAAAATTGGAGATAATCTATATAGAGCAGCAGTTCTCAACCTGTGGGGTTGAGAACTTACTTCCTAAGTGGAGTAAAGTTCACTGGAAAACATTCCAGGTTGTTTCTTGTAAGAAGGTTGGTTTTGGTTGAGATGGGCTTTGGTGTAGAGCTAGGTTATGAGGTGGAAGCACCACCTCCTAGTAGCGTGATCTTAGGTGAGGACCTAACCTCCATTCAGTTCCCCCTTCTGCAGAGAGAGGCTGATAATACCTCCCCTACAGTGAAATGAGATCCTGTAAGCAGCAGTATGAGCTGAGACTCACAGCAGCACTCAGTGGATGGTGATACTAACATTTTCATATACCGATTCCCATTTGTTTTTCCTATGGATGACCTTCAGCTTTGCCCTTCCGATACGCACCTCTGTACTGGTGGGCAATGAGAGCTCACTCATTTGCAGGTTACCCAAGGAGAGTGACTTCTACTCCAAGAACCTCTGAATCCTTGTGGCCTCTTATTTTTCCTGGTTTGCTTCCCTCCATGATATTTATGTTCTTTCTTGTGTAGGTATTAATTGAAAAGGACTGGATCTCCTTTGGCCATAAGTTTAATCACAGGTAAGAAATATTTTAAAATCTGTTTTAAATGCTTAGGATTAAAAAAAATACGTTTAAGTTCTCAATTAACTGGGGGAAACAGCCTTATATCAGAGGTTCTCAACCTGTGGGTCGCGACCCCTTTGGGGGTCGCATAAGGCCATCGGAAAACACATATATAATTACATATTGTTTTTGTGATTAATCACTATGCTTTAATTATGTTCAATTTGTAACAATGAAAATACATCCTGCATATCAGATATTTACATGACGATTCATAACAGTAGCAAAATTACAGTTATGAAGTAGCAACGAAAATAATTTTATGGTTGGAGGTCACCACAACATGAG